ACTAGACAACAGCCAATCGCATAACCAAAGGAAAAAAATAAAATAAAATATGATATGATATAATAAAAATAAAAAGAGATCCACCAAGGCATCAACAAGCAGAAGCCTGATAAAATTGTCAGGAGAAGGCCCCGGTTAAATTAGGTGGCGGCATGTCTTATTGCAATTGTATTACCTAGAAGTAAAAGGCTGAAACTATGGAAGCCACTAACACATACAGAAACTCAATTTGGAGTCCAGAAGATGAATTTAGGAAAATGAAGTCACAAGACCCCAAAGAAGAAGCTTTTCAACCCCATCATAAACTACCAAATTCGAGTGTGAATACAACGAATTTGTCTATGGGCCATCAGCAAAAGAGTAGAAATCGTAAGATAAATCAATTTTAATATGTCTTTAGAAGAGGCAATCTGCGAGTAACAAAGCCAAAGGCAACAAGAAAATAGGAAAGGAAAAAAAAAAAAAACAGCCAAGCATCAGACTCGAATAATGCTATTTTCAGCATTAATTGACAGTTCCGGTTCCTCAACTAAAATGCCAGTAATATGCTACTAAAAGATGAAGAAAAAAGACCAACCAGAGCACAGGACAGACAAGCATGCAAGCAAAAACCCCCCCTACCAACTAACAAGTAGAGGCCTACAAAAATCAATCGAAGTTCGTAATGACAAAAAGAAAAACAACTAGATAAACCAGCCAATCACAAATCAAAATAAAATAAAAAACACAATTTCATTCATCTTTATAAAAAAATAAAAAAAAAAAAAACAACTAGATAAACCAGCCAATCACAAATCAAAATAATAATAAAAAAAAAACACAATTTCTTTCGAACTCAGTCATAAACCCCATCAAAATTTTTTTAAAGAAAAACGTTTCGAACTCAGTCATAAACCCCATCAAAAAATTTTTAAAGAAAAACGAAAAAAAAAAAAATGCTTGGAGATAGTCAAACCTGATCAGGGGGGCTATTAGGACGATCAACTAAATGAGTACGTGGCTCAAAGGCCTTCTTATCTTGGTGGTGGTGGCTAGGGTGAGCTCTTCTATGACCGAGATTCTTGTTCATTTGAGACACTGAAAGGTGAACTTGGGGTTGAATCTCCCAAAAATTGGCACAGAGCTTTCTAGCAGAGACAGTAGTGGTAGTAGTATTAAGGAATTCTTGAATGGGGTTGCCGTTGTTGTTGTCATTTGGAGAAGGAGAGAACTCAAGTCTCCAAGTGGGTGATGGGGTAGATGGGCCTCCTCTTTTCCCTACCTGCAGTACCATCCCTCCTTTCAACTTTTGTTTACTCTTCAATATCTCTACTTTCTTTCCTTCTCTCTCCACACCTTTTTCTTTTCTTTCCATTTCTCCCTTCAAGTTCCTAACTCTGGGTTCCTCTCTGTTTCACTCATCTAGCTTGGTCGGCAATTTCAGTCTGGGTGAAGTCTGGTCCTTGTGTTTGTGTGTTTCTATTACTGTGACTTGTGGCTACTAGCCAGAGCTTTTGCCTCTCCTTACTATGTTTCAAGTTCTGTGTCCAGTGTCTGACTGAAAGGTTTAACTTTACATGGGACCTTCTGCCTTTTCCGCTGTTTCAAGTTTGTTGTCCTTTGCCCCTAAACTCTAGCCACCTAAGCTCTCAGGCTGAGTTGGATTCCAACTCTTTCATTATAGAAATATGCAAGATCCAAATGGCATGCAATAGAATGAGATGCAAAAAAATAAAAACATTTGCAATTGCTTATCTGGTAATCTTTCCTAAGCTAAGGCATGAATTGCCTTATCTGTAGACAGCTATTTCGAAATGATTCGGAAGAATGAATAGTCCTGTGCCTCAATTCCGCATTGTACACAATTTATATGCTACCGATGCACATACTTTTAATTATGAAGGTGCCTCTAAGTCAAAAAAAAGGCAGCAGCATTTGTGTACAATCTGACCAACAAAGTAAAACTTCTCATGTTACATCACTGTTTATACAATCCAAATTGTCAAACCATTTGGAAACATTTCTCGCTTCTTGTTAACATTTTTGCTGGGTCCTCCATAGAATCCTAAAACCATAGGATGTGACTTTTTGATTTTGAATGTTGAGTCAATGTTTAATAATTAGTTTTTAATTACGTTTTCAAAATCATTCAAAAAAAATAATTTTGATTAATGTATAAATTTGTTAGTTTGAAGACAGTGGTTACCATTGTATTAATAAAAATATATTAGAGGATATTAATTCTACATCTATTTGCTTCCAGTCAACATTTCCTCGTCATTTTTTTATAGATTTGTTCTCCATGTTATAGACATGGCAGATCGATGTCATATGCTCGGCCAACTGGTTAAAAATTGCAGATGCTCTATGACCATGATTGATGGACACTGCTTTGTTTTCTCGAACTCCTTTGAGTCAATAAATTTAACGATTCTTTTTTAAATCAACGCAGTAAATTAAGAATTTTTTTAATAAAATAACACTATTTGAAAAGATTAGCTTCATTAAAGCACATGGAATTTACTAAATGTGGAAAAAATAAGTGCAAAGGAACTGAATCTTCTTCCATCTTATATACCAGATAAAAAAAAATAAAGAAAGCCCCGTCTTAGCGCCAATCATACTCTCTCGCTATTCTTTTCAAGACTTTCATAAATACAGTCGACCAACTTCGAGCCCTTAGAGCTAAGCAAAAGCTATATTGTCTTCCAAGTGAGATCTTCCTTGATGAGGATCTTACTTGATCACAGGTTGCAGAGCTTAAACGCTTCAGAGAGCTGGTTGCGGCAGCGTGTCTTTTAGTCTATTGAAAATTAACTTAGTCGTTCTCTTAAAATTTTCATGCAGATTGCCTAGTTTGCCCAAATTTAACTCATATGACATCTATGTGTCTCTTCTTGAAGAACTATCGAAATCTAACCTCATTTGTGATGCAATGACTGAAACATAGGAATAAAATCGCTGGGGGTGATGATGCCTAAATCCTTCTCTTGGAGCAGTAAGCTAGAACTTTTAACCATGCGGTTCATGGAATAGTGTGACACGCTTGACCACCTATGATGCCGAGCCTTGTTAGGATCCTAGGACGAGGGAGATCAACCTGGTTGGCTGCTTTTTAGTGCATCGGCATGTTACCCGTATAGACCGATGTAGGGCTGAGCCACAGGCCCGCAGGTGAAGAAATATCTGTCCGACAAAAAACCTGTCAGAGACCAAACCAGCTTGTGGTCCATAGCCCTCTCGTGCTGGCGTTACAAAGCTTTTGTTCGGTTGTTTATTTTAAGGATGTACTTTGCTTAATTATGCCGTTGAGTTGCCAAATTTTCAGATTTCAAGGGACAGTTGACAGTCAAATCTGAGATTCATGACATGCAGATTTTTATGTTTATTATAAAAATTAGAGAAGAGGAATTCACAGATTTCTAAACAACAGAGTGATTGTCATACAAATCTGATGATAGGAAATCGTGCCCTCCGTTTCGCCCAATCAACGGTGGAAATCATTATTGCTAGCACAATTTAAATTTGTGTTTTCTTACATGGAAAACTAAGAGTTTTTCTTTTTGTTCAAAAAGTATTTTATTTTTTAAAAATTAATTTTTTTATAATTTTAAATTGTTTGAATGTGCTGATATTAAAAATAAATTTTAAAAAATAAAAAAAATATTATTTTAATATATTTTTTAAAAAAAATATTTGGAATATAAAAGTAACATGATTATCATGTTTATATATGGATAAGCATTGGGTTATTCATACCCCCACGAGCAAGACTTGGAATTGGCTGGTAAAATCACATTTTCTACTATAGCCCAAGAAAAAGAAAACTCAATGTACAGTGATCCACAATGATCGTTTTATACAAGTTATTAGAGGGTAAGACTTGAATAAAAAGGCGTTTCATATTTTAAGCTAAGTTTTGGATTTAATATTTTATTATAGTAGGCTAGTGAATGACTATATTTTTTTAAAATGATAATTATTTCTGAATTGATCTGAGGTTAGTATGCATGGCATATCGCTCGAGGGAAACAACCGACTAGCCCGACTTGAAGGAACAGAAAGAGCCTGGATAAAGAAAATCTTATATATTTGACAAACAGTTAGGCTTTAATCATCTGCCCTACTAGTTTTTCTCTCTCAAATTAAGATTGGTCCGTGCTAGGCTTTAATCATAGATAATAAGTTATAATTCTATAGATATCTACCCAGCCCGACTTAATAAATAAATAATTTTTGAACTTGATAGATAATAAATAAGATATTTATATTATCAAACTTAACTTAAAATCTCTCTTGACTTAACTTGATATATAAATTTATATTATATAAATATATTTATAGAACATTTATATTCTTTAATATAACATTATATATATACACACACACACATATTAATTTACATTGTATTAATTAATAGATATATAATAGTAGGTAATAAATATTGATTAGATAATAATTTATAAATATTTAAATTTATTAATCAATAAACATGATATAGAAATAAAGAAATCCGACCGCAGGGAACGTTGTCATCCCGGGCCTCTGTATTTTTGCTGTCTATCCTTCCTGTCTTTCAGTGTCCCTGGCCCGGATCTGGCCTAGGCTTAATGTGCCCTTTAATTTCGGTCCCATCAGGGCAGTTGTGATTTGTTAGTTCTGATATTTTTTCTGTTTCCTTTAGAACTTTTTGGGTGCCGTGGAGGCTTACGAATTTATGGGTCTTAAAACTCGAACTACGATGCCATTGACTGTTTAATAGAGTAGGAGTGACTCTCCTCCCTTTTGCAATCAAAGCCATCTCCAACAGGAAAGCTATATGGAGAGGAAAAAACAACTAAAATGACTCAATATTTATTGGAGAAAATTATATGAAAAAATTTAACTATTTTTTATCTTTAAACTTCTCTTTTTCTTTCATCGTTTTATATAAAATACAAGATAATTTGATAAAATAGGTTTTTTCATTGGAGTACCACTTGAAAAAAAGAAAAAGCTAAATGACACTATTCAAACTGCTGTAATAATCATTTGACTCTTTTAAATGGTTTTTGCCATCATAGATAATCTGAACACTGTTTTAAATAAGAAAAAAAAGGAAATAAATCAATAATCATCCAGATATTGCTAATTGACAGAGCCATATTGCTTGGTAATGAGATCAGCTGTCCCTGTGTTTCCAAGTCATCATTTTGCATATCCCACTTCCATAATGAATAATAATTTGTCTATTATATGTCTATGCAAATGGTCAAAAACTTGCACGGCACAGAACTGTCCATAGCCCTGTCAAAAAGAGTGAAAAAATTAATAATTTCATGTCATAACTAGGAGAGGGAAATCATAAAAAGAAGAAGAAAAAGAAGCAGCAGCAGCAGCAAGGAGAGGCAAATATATTGTAAGTCTTGATTTCTATGGATCGCAATTTTTTACATTGTGGTGCATGATAGGAGTCGTCCTTGATCAAGCCTGTCCTGAGAGAAATGCAATGTGAATACAACAACTAAATAAAACAGTATTGGAATCTGGGTACTTAGGATTAAAATTTGAAAAATCCAAGCATGCATTGCTAAAAAAAAAGGAAGGAAAGAATGAGAATGTAAGCAAAAACCCTTCTCAAATTTGGTTGGTTGAGCTTGAGGCTGACTGGATTTGGATGACTGTTCGTCACCCAGGGCTGCTTTCTTTACCTTCTCATTCAATCACATGCAAGGGCAGAATGTCGAAAATTCGTGCGTTGCTAGGTGTTAACTTTCGTGTAATGAGATAAAATGCAAGAGAGCACTGCATAAGGATGTCTAATTCGGACATTTTGGTTGGAAGTTCGGTAAGTTCTTGACTTTGCTAGAATGCACTACATCTATATGCCCACGGAATCTCCAAGGAGTATGAAGAACACTGATAATAAGATATAAATCATCCTATAGACAGCACTTTGATAGTTATTCCACAAGCATGGATGTCGTACATGCCAAAGGTTGAGAATGTCCTCATGTAATAATTCATGTGGAGAGACGGTAAAATAAACAGAACTTACCAGTTGCAAGTCCACAAATATCAGGAGTCCACATGAAAAATGAGGCTCATAAAATCTTGGAAGCGAGAAGCATATGCCTTGGGATTCACTGTAACAATTGACTTGGAGTCGTACTTGATTGACTTGTAAGCATGTTCAAGGCGCTTAGCCAGATTGTAATTCTGAAATATATCAACAATTGAGAAATATAACACAACGTCGGCGCACTCCAATCCTCCAGCGCTTCGAGTGGATGGCACATGCCCTGCTTTAATCAGTTTTGATCGGATAGTACGTGCTGGCATTCCCACACCTAATCTAAATTTAGAACTGCAATGGAACCATGGCAGAAATTATTTCATCAATGAAGATACTATTTTATCCCTGATTATCAAGTTCATCTCCAGTAGACAAGTGGGGGGAAACAAAGAGAGGGCAAAACCACCCCTGGTTTCCTTCGGATAAATTATATGACATGAGGAAAGTGGGCTTTTTCATGGACAGGCTAGTGAACTTTCCATTCTACCTGCCCTACTCCATTTTAGTTTTTAAGCAGTGGATAGTCTTAGAATAAAGTGAAATCATAATGGCACACACATATATATATAAAGTATTACAATGAAGAAGAGTGTGTGTGTGTGGAGTTTTTGTTTGTTGTTTCCAGAAATCTCAATCGCTCAGATTCGAAGCAATTTACTGTCAAGTGTGTCCAAAAGAAACAGTTCAAATTCAGGTTTTGAGATGAAGAAAAATCTTGAATATGATCCCTGAGCTCAACTTTCATTATTTCAGTTATGCTCTTTGCCAGTTTAAATTTTGATCTTCTTCTTGGCAAGGATGTGATCCATGGTAAATTCAAGCTCATGTTCATCTAAATGGAACCACTCCCAATGAACCCAAACAATAGAAGAGACTTGCTAATGGTCAACTAAAGTAATGTGAGATAGCCTATCATTCATTCTGAGAACTGCGTAATTTTGTTGGGTGGAAGACGTTATTTACCTATCAGGCTCTTTGCTAATGTCAGAATAAATTGACTGTGTTCCCTCAACTTCTTCTGAAGAGCAACTTGAGATTCTCTCGCTATCAAAACTTCTGCTATCAACTGAATTTACAGGTGAAGAGTCGCCATAGCCAGCATTCTGCACATTGGAATTTCTGCTATCATTCGAATTCATAGGAGAGTGGCAGGAGGGTGTAACTTCGCTATAGGAACTTCTGCTATCAACCGAATCTGTAATATGGTCGCAATTGAATGCAGTGTGAAAGTGAAATCATTTTATTCTTCATTTTATTTCTAAACTCTAGGTACAAACATTTGAGGAAGGGAAACATACTCAGAAGTAAACATGTAAAATATTTTACCCCTGAAATATTTGGCTTGAAAAATATTTTCTAACGGTGATGGTGAAAGTTTTGGTGACATGCAGGTGATGGTAGAGAAGGTGGTGGTTAAAAAAGAGGTGATGGTCATGGTGATGATGGTGGAGGAGATGGTGATGGTGGCAATGGCACTAATAGTGAGGTTATCATGGTGGTGGTTGAAATAGTTAAAAGATATTGTTAGTGGATTATTATTTATAGAATATTTTACAAAACTTCATGGATTGAAAATATTTTAAGTTTGAAGATTGAGTATAAAATATTTTATATTAATCAGAAAACAAATACTAAAAAATATTTTTTAAAAACAAAAACAAGAAAATTTAGAAAATATTTTATAGTGAGATATTTTACGTGAAATATACCCACACTAGACTAAGTAATAACTTAAAATGAAACACCTTTTAGCATGGATTAAGGCTTGTTTAAAATGAATTGATCATCATTTCTCTATATTCTGAGAAATTATAAAGAGAGTATCAATTGAAATGCAAATTCTGCAAAGTGCACATTAGTATGAACCAAGAGTGCAAGAACTGAGATGCACATTCTACAAACTACACAGATATTTCTTTGTCAAATTCAGGGTGTGAAAGTGAATAACATCACAGACCACTGCTTCAGTCGAGTTTCATTAGATGGTCAATTTGTTTCTTTTTTCAATAAATTTCTTATTCTCTTCTTTATCAAGTACCAAAGCAATGTGGGAGATTAGGAGGGGAAATCACCTTTATCTTGAGGTGGCAAAGCTATACCAATCAAAAGACTGTAATCCATTATTCCCTGAGCTTCCAAAAACTCACAATCATGCTTGATTTGCCTGTAAAAGTAAAGGGATTAACACTTAAATTCATAGATAACAAAAGGGTAAACAATCAATGCCTAAAGGCTTGAAGGTTACGACAAATTCCCAAGGTTTTTTACATTTTTTAATTGCATTTAGTAAGTTTCCAGGTGGAACAACAATTAGCTGTGTCCGTAAAATTGATCTCCACAATCTGAAAGTCCAATTCCAGATCTAGTTCACCTCGCTTTGTTCTCTCTTCAAATATTTGTTTGTATTTCAAACTAACGTGTCTAGAAAGAACTAGAGTAATTGACATACCCTAAGAGTTTTTCTTGGATCAATGGATCTAGGGAAAAACGAAAACCGAAGTCCATATCCTTTAATATGATGTTCTCTTTGCCTCTTGGTTTGTTTATTTTTCGTCCTTTCCACGAGCCTTTCAGATCAAAAACCCTGAATATGTTAGCATCTGATGGAATCACTCTGGAATAGACAGAAAAGTAAACCTGCTCACAAAAAGCCATGATTAGTGCAATGTAGCAACTCAAAAATGTTAGTTCCAAAACAGAAGGGAAGATCTGTGGGAAATTTTTTTTTCAGGTTTTGGCTCATTCCACTAACTTTGTTTCTTCACCAAGGCAATAATCATGTGTAATAAAAGTGCAACCTATAGTGCCCATCATAACTTCAAGTGAAATCGGACGTCTTAGGCCACCTAGCAATAGCATTGTTTTCGCTTTAAGTAAAATCAATGGACAAGAAACTGCAAATGAAAACATAAGAAATTGTTTTGCAAACAGTGACATGTTTTGTGATTGTTACTGGAGAAAGGATTTTTTGTTTAGTCATGGCATGCCACACATAAAGAAAGAAAGAGAGCACATTTTCTAAATCCGCGGACATGAAAGCTGTGTTTTGCGTCTGTGGAGGAAACAACAAAATGAAATGCGATAGAAGAGTATATACATCACGCACGCAAATTAGAGGATGGTGCATGACCAATCAGACAATGCATGGACCATCCATTTTCTAACTGGATTTGTTGGATTTTTTACCAGGTTGAAGGGTGACAGGTTATTTTTTGCTTCAATGTTTTATGAGGTTTAACTAGCTTCTCAACCGAATATAGATTGAATTCAATTGATTTCCGGCCAGAATGACCAGGTTAAGAGTAGTCTAACAGCTATGATTTCAATATCTTTGAGTTGATGTTGTTTGTTCAGCTGTTTATATACCTCTTGTGTAACAAAACGCTGTGTAATATGCAAGTGATACTGTTTGATGTAAGAGAGTTGAAATGTTCTGTACCTTAGGACCACCAATTGGCTTCATATAGTGGATTCCATACAAGATGCTTAACAGTGAATCGCGGTTCATTTCAAGATGGAAACAATAGCTTGGAAGCACACGCAGCATTACCTACAAATACAAGTGTGGTGAACTATATGCTTCCGGTAAAATGGAAAAACAAAAAACTGAAGCCAGTGAATATTCAGCACCATAATCAACTTGATAACACAAATTTAAAAGCCATAACTTAATCTTCTGAAGCAAAAGATGAATTGGCCAAAAAGAAACAAGTTTCTGCCCTGCTAATAATATTTCATTTGTTACTACACTAGCAGGACAACTCTGAGGATTAATCTCTTTACCTTCTTTTCAGATTTTGGCACGATTCCTATAACAAGGCGGTCATCAGTGCTGACAGGGATCACACGAGTATCCTTTCCTGCTGACAATATCTCCCTTAGGGTCAAATCTGAACGTATCGACATCATGTAATCACAGCGATCAATATTTCTGAGCTCTTGTATGCGTCTGTGACAAATACAATAACAGTAGTGTCAGCTCTAGACCCGGAAAGCTATAATAAGTGTCTACATGCAGTTAGAGAGACCAGCAATTGAGTATGTGAGACAGTTGTAGGCCTAGATTGTTTGCATCGTATCAAAGGAGAACTGTGTTTCTTCACTAATAAATAGCTGAATTTAAGCATGGAGAAATATAAAAGAATGTATAAAAACAGACAGACAAGACAACGAATGAAAAGAAAAATCCGTAAAAGAAAAGGGACAAAAAATAACCTGAAAACATCGGGACAGTAATCCTTGCATTTATAATCACTATACACGCGATCATCAACGCGTCCGGAATCCTGTTTACAATATCGTATCGTGTTCCTTTGAGCATCCCTGAATGCCAGAGAAGGAAGGTCTTTGAAATGCATCGCCATTTGCTGCCCTTCAAAATGCCTGTTCCGTCAATCAGAATGAAATGATCCGTTTCGCTTATTGGAAAGGTGTCACAGGTCACAGCAAAAGTCCAGTGAATAGGAATGTCGGAGTTAGTCAACGTTCTTTATACTAGAATCAATCAGGACAACAGCACGACAAATTCTGTATTTACCATTTTTTACGACGATTCCCAATTTTCTGCAATAACTTAGATACACTACCGAATTACACAAGACAAGGGGAAAAACAAATCAAGATTCTGATTAAAAAAATGGGAATTCCATAAACTAGATTGAATATCAATACCAAAAGGTCAATCTTGAATTATGATCATAATGAACCCACCAGAATTGCAAAACCCTAAAATGAATTCACTGGATTTGTCTCGCCCAAATCAAAAAAAAAAAAAAAGCAAAAACCTATCGACAAAAGAATCACCAGAAAGAGAAAAATACAAATTAAAAATCTATCAGAATTAAGAAAATAAATTTGCAGAGATTACCTTTAAATATATATTGCTTTTGTTTCTGAATCTCATTTCCATATCCCTTTATATGCCCTTTTCATATGACCAGCTTACTTGACTTGTGGCCGTTTTGCCACTTCCGAAATCTTCGCTTTTTTATTTAAAAATATTGGTTTTGAGGTCCTTAATAATAAGACTCTAAAAACTCATCCTCTTTTGACGCCAGATTCTATTTTAACAAGATTTCAGCAATTCCTTTCTGTTACAAGTTACATTTGACCATGGGCGCGAACACAATCGTGCAGTCTGTTTTAACTTTTAAATGTTTGCCTGCCCTGCTAAATTTAACAAAATCAGATAGCTGAATCATGATAAGATGAGATAAATCCTACTCTTAAGATGGCTGGCTCTTATGGTTGTAAGTTGTAAATTTCCAAAGTTCTTGCAGCGAACTGCCTCGGACTATTTCCTGTCTTTGCCGGTGACAGAAGGTTAAGCAGTTATTTTATCATATGATTTTGTCGAATCATATGGATGGCGGTGTTAGTTGGGGCTGGGAAAATTAGCTCTAGCAAGTCCAAATCGTCCGATATTGTCAAATAATTTGAAATGCTGTGCCCTCTTTTTTTTCTAATGTCATTGTGGGAACCATGAAATCCACTCCTGTGGTTATTGAAGAAAACAAATAAATTGAGCTTATCAACAACAGTTTGGTATTTGGAACTGTATCGTGCTTTGCTGGATATTTGAACTGATCGTTACACGAGTGTTATTAATTAACTCAAATATTATAGGTTGGATCAATCTAAGTGCTCTCAAAACGTGAGACTCGGTTTGATTCTACCGGAGCTGACATCATATTTCCTTCGCATTATCTAGAATTAGTTGCAAATCCCAGTAAACATGTTAAGTGATTAATGTCTTCGATAAGAAAAATACAGTCTATCATGTAATGCGACTAAAATGTTGATACCAGTCAAACCATTGAATCTGATTTTACTTTAAAAAATTATAACCATTGAATCTGATTTTACTTTAAAAAAAAAAATTTTATTTTTTGATTGAGATTTAATAGTTGATTAACATTGGTAGTTATTTTATGGATCTCGGCATTCTGCGTTCTAAATTCACCCTCGAGTAATGTACCAAGGATTGTCAATCTTTAACCTCTAATGCCTCGTGAATGCAGCATATGCACAGTGCAGCAGCCGCCGCCTTGAAAGTGATTTGTTTGTCTCTCAGAGAGATTCAACAAAAACTGAAGCCATAGAGAAAAACATGTTGGCTTTGCTTGGCTGTTGCCAGTATATTATTATATGCTGATACGGGTCACTTTGCTTAGGCTGATTCAGCAAAGACTTCGTCGCGTAACCCGGGTACACGACTAGTTCAATGCTACAAGTCGAATTCACTAGTGTTCCACATTCTATGAAAAGAGGGCAGAGGGCATAACGTGCTCCAAAGACATCGAACAGGCAAAAAGCATCAACAGTTAGTGTTGCTGGAATAAAGAGGCAAGCTAACGTTAATTACACGGTGATCTTCAAACATTGCTCTCTCCTCTTTGTTGAACATGGTGACAGCATGCACAAACTTCGGAAACTTGGTAAACTTCATGCTGGCAAGCTATATATACTAGCTCGACAAGCGTGGTCCTAAAACAAAACCCAAGTTGCATTTTTCAACTCCTGCCATTTGCAGGAGAAATTGGTATAATCAACATCGAATTGTTGGGGGAAAAGAGAGCAACCATGAAGTCACTAGCATGGCAACCCATTATTTACATGTATGAAGCTAAAAGCGACCAATCCAGGTAGATGGATATGCATTCGATGCATAAACCGTGAAGAACCATCAGAGGACATTCTGTGATAAGGCCAGTGCCTGGACGAATCCATGGTTAATCATTGAAGTGTTTATACAAAATGTATTTGTAATTGCAGAGAATAATCCCATTTTCATGAATTAGCAGAATTAGTTTGCAGGTACACTTTGGGTGTGTTGGTTTTTAAAAAGTAATTTTTAAAAATTTATTTTTTAAATTTTATTGTATTTATTTATTATTAAAAAAAATTGATCACCAAAATACATTTTTGAATAAAAAAAATTATCTTTATCTTCATGAATATATTTCCTTTTTATTTTAAATAGAAAATACTTTATAAAAATTAAAAATATTAGATTATATTAAATTTGATATGAAATATTTAATTATTATATATATTTTATTTTAAATATTTATTTTTTTAATTTCAACTTCTTAAATTTAATTTTTATATTAACTTTCATTTTATATATTTTCTTTTTATTTTAAAATACTTTATAAAAATTAAAAATATTAAATTATATTAAATTTGATATGAAACATTTAATTTTTATATATATTTTATTTTAAATATTTATTTTTTTAATTTTAACTTTCAAATTTTAATTTTTATATTAATTTCCATTTTTTTTATAATTATTTTTATTTTTATATTAATTTCTATTTTTATTTTTATAATTATTTTTATTTTTATATTTATTGTTTTTAAATTCTAATTTTTTATTTATCCAACTTAATTTTTTTTAATTATTACTTATTTTATTTAAAATCATTTATATAATTATTTTTTCTTCAATTTTATTTTCATTAAACTTTTAATTTATAAAATTTATTTTTTAAAAAAATAAAATATTAATAAATAATTTTTTAGCTCAATTTTTATAATATAATTAAACACTTGTAAAATTTAAATTTTATTGCACTATTAAATATCAAAAAATGATTTATTTTTTTAGAATTCACTTAAAAAACTACTTTTCCACATATAAGCAGAGCTCATTACACTAATAATCATCCCAAGTCTTAAAATTCAGTTAAAAAAATAACTGTCGAGCTTTATGTAAATTTTTCTGAAAATTTCATAATGATTGAAAAGGAAGGCATAACAAACAAGAAGATAAATGGGGGGATATCAGACAAATTTTTCAACACCGCCACCTTAAATTCAATAACAAATTACGGTGCCACATCAAGCCTAGGTTCAAAGCAAAACCCAGTAAAAAGTTGAAGTGGGAACCTCTTTGACACTGGGCATTTCTGTGACCACTTCCATTGTTTCTGGTTAATGTCAAAAACAAGAAGCGCTGGAGCCCCGTAGCTTTGGATGTATATTTGATTATTTGTACCGCTGCTAGCAAAAACTTCATCAAACTCCCCAAATCCTTGGAAGAACTTGTGAGGCATACGGGCAATCTCTTGCCAGTCCTTGCCATCCAGAACCCAGATGCCAATCCCCTTTATTATGTCAGGCCGGTCTAGTTTACCAATTCCCCCCACCATTACAAGCTTCTCATTCAAATTCATCAGACGGCCACAAGTAAGAGGACAAGGTACTTTTATGAAACTTCTTATCAACAAGCCATGGGAAGATCTGTTGGATAGATTGTACCTGATTAGACCATGACGGGTTTCTGTGGCACCACCTCCTGCAGAATAAATCAAAAGGTATAAAACCCCACCACAGATCACACTCTCATCGCCACCTCTCCATCCAGTCATAACCTCTGTGCAAGAAGTTACCCACATCCTCGTTTCAGAATCATAAATATGGATAGAGAGATCAGATTGGAAAAAATTTCCAGGGCCTAACTTAGACTTTACAATTGATATAGTATAACCATGTGATATCCGGTTCACAGAAATTGCAAGTGCACTGTAATCATAAACTTTTAAGCCTGGGGGCTCCTGAAGCTTCCTGCAGCGTTTGGTGATCGGGTTGCAGACATACAACTCGCTTCTGCTGTCGTTATCCATGAAGGAAACCAAGCCGCATGATGAAGCAATGAACCAGTTGGACTTTTGGATGTAGGGAAGATCAATGCCAAACCATTTTCGAAGGATAGGATCAAAAGCATAGCCAACTGGTTCGTCAGAGCTTGTAAACATAAAATACCATGGTTTTTGTGGCAGGACATGTGAGAAGTTCCATAAAAACCTCCTTGAACTAACAATCTCATGCCATCTTTTACACACACAGCCAGCTCTGAAGATGCTAGCAACGGGAAGACAAGCTAGGATTCGTTCTAGCAGATCATCGGGCAAGATTAAATCAACTGAAATGGCATTAACTTTATTTCCTTCTTCGCTATGTTCAGAAAATGAATCGAACTCACCAATGTCCCTCGTCGGGTTCTCAAAACAATTATTTACCCAAGATGTTTCACCCTCCATGACGTAAAAAAAAGGGGCCTTGGGAACAAGATCTGGCGCAAGAAAGACAGCGCAGATCTAAAATAAGAAGGCCCAGATAATTTTGCAATGAAGATTTATGGCAATAAAAATAAACCCCTTGCTGTCAAATATACGAGTTAATATCGCTACTAAAACCAACACATAAGATAAAAATTAAAACTTAAAAAAATTGAAAGACGTGAAAATCAATCTGAAATTTATGAACCATGAACGATGCTAGAATTTACATGGAAAACAAACAAAAGAATAAGTATTGCATTGCAGAACAAATCTAATAGTATCTAAAACTAACACAATGTCCAGATTCAGAGATACAAAACCCCAATGCGTTTTCTCCAATTGTGGGAATAATAGTTCCAAAACTTGGGAAAAAATTATCAATGAACAGATATCAAAATATAATTTAACTGACTTACAGGCAAACAAGAATCAAACTTCAAGCTCAGTCATGCCACATCCAGATGCAAAACTGTGAAAAGCCACCACCCTATAGTGATGGTCTCAAGGGCACCTGCAAAGCAAGAACTATTTTATAGGTCCAGGATCATATTCTGTCATCCTTCCCACATATTTTGGATTATATATAAATTCGTCTTTAAAATGTCCGACTCGTAGTAAAAGTAAAAAACTCACTTTAAAAATGCAAGAATCCCAGCATAACCTACACATCAAACATGACTAAAAAACTAAAACTTTGTTGAACAAGAAACACGTTAACATGGAAGAAACAGTTTTTAACATGATCAGTATGGTTACTCGGCTTGAAGACAACCAAGCAACCACATATATATTACTTACTAATTTAAAAAAAAAACAATGAAATTAAAGGGGCTGACGGACAGGTTACCGAATCAAATGCAGAGCAAGATTTTAAGCCTCTGGATGTAAAATGATATCTGTGAAGTATGGATGGATGCATCCCGCATTAATCGCTAGATTGTTGCTTCGAAAAGACAACGGCGCTTAAAGAGAACATGTAAAAGGAACAATTTTGAAAACAGGAAATCTTCAGGGAATGAATCTGTTGATCACCAACTTGTGTTTCCTTCCACACTAAAGAACAGCCTTTTATGGTTATCAAACCGTTGCAAAACTGCTTTATAGAGAGCGCCAATAAAAATAAGAATAATTTTAGTTTAAGATCAAGCCATGCTTATCTATCAATTAAAATATCAAAACCCCACTTCCAAGCAAAAATTAAGACACATAAACAGATCACTATAAACCCATTTAAAAAATCTCAAGAAGAGACCAGAAAGCAATGAAGTCCCTTACCTTTTTAAGGCCACCAACACTCTCAACTCGGTCTTGCCAGATTTAACCAGAAAAAAATGGCATAAAATGAAAACTAAAATTTAAAGGGCAAAAAAAAAATAGGAACTCCTTATCTGAAGGGGCAATAAAAGAGCGTATCAAAAGCAGATGAGAAGAGAAAGCTGAAATGAGAGTAGATGAAGGTCTTTTCAAGTAATGGTAGAGGAACAATGAAATGGGTCACTTCAGATTTGGCAGGTGACTCATGCCCAAGAAACCCATTTGAGAGAGGAAAAAAGAGAGTTTTTTTTTCTATATGGTTTATGTTTTCTTTTCTTTTTTCGATGTGTGTGTGTGTGTGTGTGTGTGTGTGGGAGAGAGAGAGAGAGAACGACAGGCAGAGAATGAAGTGAGAAGCTGGTTTTTCTATACAGGGCTAAAAAGTAGGTGGTGAGTGTTGTTTCTTAGAGTGGGGAGGGGGCGGTGTGCGATAGAGGTGATATTCAAGCGAACGATCGATTTATAAGGGGAAGAGGAGAGAACATTTGGATTTTGATTAGCGATCAAAAAGAAAATAATGATGCTTTCTTACTCATCAACCCTCGTATTTTCTTTTTCTTTTTCTTTTCCTTTAATTCCTTTTCTTTTTGTACAGCCATTCATTTTAAAACTTTTGCTCGACTCCTTACTTAGTAACTCTATTCTTTTTTTTAATTTTTTAATCAAAATATTTGTTGGGCATAAATTATGTAGTGGCCGGTGATGCCAGCTTTTTTTGCGGTTATCCTGCGTGGCTGTCATTGATCTGCATGCATCGATGAAATTTATTAACTAGAAATGTGCGTGTAATTCCATTTTTTTTAATTACAGGGAAAAGATCTAAAGTCGAAATCTTTTTTTTTTAAATATTATTGCTAGTTCTAGATGCAGGGAAAAGATCTAAAGTCGAAATCTTTTTTAAAAAAAAAATATTATTGCTAGTTCTAGATGATCGTTAACGAGTGTAATCTCATTTGGTCGTTGGTGGAGGTGCGTTGGCAAGATTTAATAACGCGCATGGATTTTATATATATAGTTTTATCTAATCATGGGTGGATGGATACTTGTAAGATTCATCGAATACTAACAGTCTCGTCTGTCTGTACTTGGATACGTGGTAATAAATTAATGGACACGTAAATTATGTGTAGTTTGATCTGGCCATGGGTGAATGTGCGCTGACAAATTAAGCTCGCCGATTATTACAGTGTGGTTGCCTTAGCTTAGGATAAAGGCTGTCTTTCCTCCTTGATATCCATCTCGAGGACAAGGGAAATTCGACTTTAGGTTTTGACACAGCTTTGGCATTGTGACGAGAAATGTCCTGGTTCTTCCCCTCTCAGAACACACATAAAATGAGCTTAAAAACTTCTGAATTGATTCGAATAATTCCTTTCTTCGAACTGCAACTCTGTTCCTCGACCTCTCTCTGTGCACTTTGTTTTCTACTTCTAGAGTTTTAGCATATACTTTGCCGGGATGCCATGGTTGCTTGCCTTCGGGTAAATTCCATTTCTCATCAGTGACACTTCCTTTACCAAAATACTATGGATAAAAAACTGTTTGTTTTTATATTTTAAAATCACAGCGATCATTTTAAAGTTAGGTCGCATTATGTTCGATCAAATCCTGGTCAGGAGTATCTAATGTTGTTAGTAAGATACTGTTTGTTTTTATATTTTAAAATCACAGTAATGACCCAATAGAAACATGAAAAAAATAACTTGTCAACCCCGGGATTTGAACCTAGACTCAGGTCGCATTATGTTCGATCAAATCCTGGTCAGGAGTATCTAATGTTGTTAGTAAGATTCTTTGACATGCTTAATCAAGGTAGTGAACTGTTAAGATCGCCTGACCAAGTTTTGAATTTAATTGGCTGTGAAACCAACATGTTGAGTCGCACAGTGATAATTTATGGGGGCACCAGCATCTCATGCACGAGAGTGCCCATCCAGCAAAGGTTACCTGACTTGATGATGTAACAAGATTATTTTATAAGATAGTGCATTCCAATGGGGGCAGCGCTGGTTGTGTAAGCATTGCAAATTTCGCCTTTTCTTCTCTTTCATATTTTCCGAGCAATCTTTTTTTATTCCTTTTCCCTGTCAAGGTGTGGCCATGAGAAGACTCCGAGAGATAAAACAAAGTGAGGGAATAGAACATGTCCAATAAGGACATTCGCTTCCGTGACTACTTTCTAGAAGTCCAAGCAGAACAATTAACGTTGCCAACTTAAATAAATACTAATACTATATTGTTCTTAATTAAACACTAAACGACGGGGCTAAATCAGCCGCACCTACGAAGTGTGTTTTATTGTTATTATTTTTAATTAATCCTTCGAAACTCAATCCTTATTTTTTTTAGTTTTCTTAATTTTTTTAATATTATTATTTTTAAAATTATTCTTTGTATTTTATTTTTTATTTTGATTTCATATTTTTTTTCAACTTAATATCAACTTTTAATATTAAATTCATTAAAAGTAAACTAGATGGTTGATTTAATAGATTAACTTAGATTAATTATATTTTTTTTAATTGAACTTTGTAATATTTTTAATTTGATTTGTATAAATTATCTTAATCTCGTAATAAAAATATTTTTAAAAATTTAAAAATTGCGTATTAAAATATTTAAAAATAAATTAATTTAATATTTTTTTGAATAAAAAATACTTTAAGAAGGTAAGTTAAAAAGGAAGAACACTGCCTAAATTTTGTTGAGTAAAACGCACCGAATGTTTTAAAAAGTCGTGGAAGGACATGATTGTGGTGGAAACACAACATTGAAAAGGATGTTTATCTCCCTACTCACCCGAGTGGGATTTAATGGTCCATGCTGTGAGTGGCTTTATCCAGGACATTTTACTAGGCTAGAGCTTCTTTTTTTTCTTTTTCTTTTTCTTTTTTTTCTTTTCTGGGTCTGTGGCTGCCTTCGATGCCGCCCCTTGATTGTGGTTGTAATGCAGTATTTGAACCTGGATTGCTAAAAAATAGACCCCCAGCCTCCATATATATTAACCTACCGACACTCAACCTTTAAAATCTTTTTAATTTCTTTACCGATTTTCTCTATCCAAGCCCATCCCCCGAGTTTCCATGCCACAAGATCAAATCACCAAACATTGATAAGTTCTTGAAGTTCTGGGACTGATTTGGAGGCTTCCATTTGAATTTATTTTTTGTCCCGACAATCTTGTGGAGTCACGGATTTCAGCTATCTATCGAATGATGGATACCGCAAACCAGGCATGTGCATTTCGCATGCATGGCTAGATCCCTCCACTGCATCTAAAAAAAAACACTAACCTAAAAAGAAAAGGATTAAAAAAAGCAAAGGTCTTTGAATTAAAGCACAGTGCCAGTGATTTTTTAAAGAAGTGTCAGGCGATAGTTAAACTTGAATATCCTCCGAAAAAAAACAAACTCGATTACTGTAGAGTTAATAAGAGGACTCTGGCTGGCAGGGTTTGATCGGTACTTGAGTCTGAGATTTCAAGAGCGTGTAGAGTGTTTTGTTTGATTTTTAAAATGTTTTTATTTAAAAATAAAACACAAAATACCTCAAACCAGACAAGGAAGAGGTGAAATGAAAGGTATGAAATGCAGGCCGACCGTAATCAGAAAAAAGAGACAAGACGTGGTTGAGTATCTAAAAAAGAACAGTCACCATAACTCATTGGCTAAGTGGTCACAATGAGTGGGATTTGTATTTTTGTGGAGACATGTCAACCTAAGTTACCCTGGAGTGCTCGTAGCAGTCTTGTGCACAATCGTGGACCGCTCGGACTGGTGGAAATAGGTCCGCGATTGTATTCCCATTAATCACAGGACTGCTACTGAGAAATGTGGAAAAATGTGCTGCTGCTGGGGGGCTGCGATTTCCATCAATTGTATGCAGGCCAAGCGATCGGTGGTGATATTTTGTAGAGTCTGTCAATCAAATCATCGGATATTTCCTAGATTAGTTTGCAAGCGAGATAACTATGAATTTTATTAGAATCTGCTGATACCTTCATTCAATGCATGTAGACATCTTAGTAAAATATTATAAATGAGATATTTAAAAAATATTTTTTTATTATTTGTTTATGCTTGCCTAGCGAGTAGAGCCTTGAGAAATCTTTATATAATTGGTAAATATATATTATATATTATTGAATGAAAATTTTAAACCTTTACTGAAATTGCCAATATATTCTCACCGGCTATAATTCAACAATAACTTGCACACTATAGCTTTGTAAAATATCAAAACGACATCATCCATGATATACCATGTCAATGGTTAAGGCGGGAAACACAACACATGTTTTCAATCCGGATATCATAATTGTAGCATGTTCTAGAAGAAAATACTTTTTAAATCCAGTGAAACATTGCTCATTTTTGAAACTCACTTACTTCGTGGCCATTTTTATTGTAATACACGTGTCCATGTCGTCGTTCAAAGAACACATCTCACGAGTTTTTATTGAGTATTTACCAGAGCACCTGCTTATGTTGCTATTAATAGATAAACAACTTAATTGATAAAAAATAAAGTTGAGAGGCATAATTGTGAAAGTTAAAAGTGTCCGGGCACCTGATATATCCAAATCCTATCGGCAGCCTTTCCCGATTCTCATCTGGATCCTAATCTAATTTTTATCAATTGCGTCCCCGTTGTTTCATGAATCTTCTACCGAGTCTTTCCATCTAACATCAAAGTAGATTTTTGAACATTCATCTTTAAAAAACACATCTTACTGTTGCGAGATAGGCAATTCAATTAAAAAAAAACATTAACAAGAATTGGATGGAGGGACCTAGTTAATAACTTTATATTATAATAGGGATCTTATCAATAAAAATAATAGGCTGGGGGTTTGATTGAAAATTGATTATAGGATGGGGACTGGTATGAGGTTTCTTTATCACGGCGTCAAGCCCCGCATCAGTTTGTAGTTTATAGCAACCAGTCAGCATGACCGGAGGCTTATTCTATTTTCACAGCAAAAAAAAAAGAAAAAAAGGAGAGATTCATTATAGAAATAATTAGCTATTTGATCTGTGATTCATCCCAAATAGAATAATTTTTTTCAACTAAAAGAAATTATATAGGCATTGTGGCGGGTCAAATCATACAAGAGATTGAACATGTAGACGTAGTTAATATTTTTTTTAACATTTTTTAATATCAAACTCGAAAAACAATTCTCACATGCAATAAAATAAAACAAATATAAAAATAATTTTTTAAAATATAAAAAAATTTAATTTTTATAAGCTTATTAAAAATTGTTCGTGATCAGAAAATAATGTTATAAAAATAATTTTTTAAAATATAAAAAAGTTTAATTTTTATGAGCTTATTAAACATTGTTCGTGATCAGGAAATAATGCTGCATAAGTTGAATCTTAACTAGTTATATTTTAAATTTATTTTTTAAAAAATATTAATTTGAGTCTTCGTGA